CATTACTAGGTAAAGGCTTTCCAGTGTGCATACCCTCAGGTCATACATACACCTCAGCAACCCCTCAGTTATCTCAGTAAGTAAGCCCAATTAATTCATTGGTTCCCCATGAAAAATTTAATCAAACATTAGTTTGACACTAGAACCTTGAAAGGGGATAAGCATTGCTTAGCATCCCCAGGAAAAGAAGTCTCACAACAGATGGAAAATGTATTTGTTAATGCTATTATGTCTCATAATTATTTAAAAAAAGAAAATGAGAATGTAAAAGATGTTAAAAGGATATGGGAATGGAAGAATTAACAAAAGGGAAAAAAAATGAGAAAGCCTAAGCAAGTAATAAAGGCCTGTATAGGTTTGTTATGATTTATCAGTGATAGAACAGGGATAATGTACAGACAATCTTGAGGGCATAACTCAGTCAATTAGTTTAAGGATGTCTAGTAAAGGTTTATTTAAGAATATTGCCCAAGCCTTATCTGCATAACAGTGACTACTGAAAGATGTCTTTTATGTTTCTCTGTATTATGCAAATGTGACTTTTGGCACTTTCTTTTACCCATAACAAGAATGATTTGACTCAAGAAAAACCAGGTCTGCCTCCTTGAACCAGATGTATGCAATCTAGAAGAAAACAGTTTCTGTGAAGCTTGGTCTGAATTCTGATGTTTATTTCCTGTCGATAGCCACTCCATCAGCTATCAGAGTACCTGAAAACAAATCTTAAGTTCATCGTTCTCAAGTCCAGTCTTGGTGGCTCAAAGGAAAATGGAAAAAAAGAGACCAAGCAGTAGATGGGTGCTTTGAAAGCCCTCATCAGAAAATTCCAGTGGACTTTAAGTGTTTCTTCTGGTTCCCTGTCTAGAACTTGTAATGCTAATTATTCTTGCCTTTACTTCTCCTTCATGTCTCAATTTTGGAGTTTTTATAAATAGACCCACTGAAGGGGTACCCCAATTGCCACACTCTATGTCCCTGTTCAGCATGGAAGAAGCCAGAGCTGTCTGCGTCCCGATTCCCCATAGGCAAATTGGGTTACCTCTTCAAAAATAATAAAATAAGAAAAAAAAATCCTTGCTCTCCTAGAAGCTACTAAATGAGATTGTGCCTTGATTTGGCATCTCTATTGGTCTGGGGTCTGACAGTGGCCCCACTTTCATATCCTGTGTATCTAAAACCTTAGCTTCTGTCCTCCAGACTGGAAATTACATTGTGTATCTCACCCCCAGAGTTCAGAACAGGTGAAAAGGATGAATAGAACTATTAAGGAAACTTTGACTAAGTTAATAACAGAGACTGATGGTAACTGGCAAGTAAGGAAGAGTATAAGTACTCTTCCTTGTGCCCTTTACAGGGCTTATACTGAGTTCAGTATTGTATAACTGTATTATTTCAACAGCTAACCAAAAAATTTTATAGCCACTTTTAAAAGAGATGTATCTTTGCTCTGAAAACTGTTATTGAGTATGTTAAAGCTGTAATGAAATGCTTTTTTAAAAAAAAGCCAGATGTACTCCTTACATAAAAGAAATTATTCCCTTTGGGATCTTGTTTGGGTGACCTCCACCCTTTACTTCCCGTTTAGGGGAGGAAAATCTGGTGGAAATATCTAATTACAGCCTTCTACAGTCATTGCAGGCTCTGCAAAATGCTCTGAGCCAGGTACACGGACTAGTGCAGGAGGCTCATGAGCCCAGTCATCCCTCACTAACCACTGAACAGAATCTAATTACAGCCTTTTACTGTCATCACAGGCTCTGCAAAATGCTCTGATCCAGATACATGGACTAGTCCAGGAGACTCATGAGCCCAGTCATCCCTCACTGACCACTGAACAGACAGATCTACAACCTGGTGATTGGAGTTGAGTCCATAGACATCAAGTGCCTAACCTTGAACCCAAGTGGGCTGGTCCATATCCGATCATCTTGCTGACTCCAACTGCTGTTAAAGTTGCCAGATGTACCCACTGGATTCACCGTTCCCAATTTAAGAGAGCTCATCTGGACCACATTCCTCAAACATGGACAGTAAAAAGAACAGACAATCCCCTCAAGGTCAGACTGGTGAAAAAATCTTAATTCTTATATTCTCCTTCTGGATAATAAAAACTGTTACTGGGTACAGTGACTGAAATCCCCATGAGCCATCCCCTGATAATTGGGTATTAAAAAGAACTTCACTTAGCCACTACCACTAACCGCTCCCCCGGCTTTCTGTTTGGCCTTTGTGATCTGTTTTCTTTACAAGAGTAACTATTTGTGTCCCATCTCCTCGACCCTGGGGATATGAAATTCCTAGTTATGAAAAACAGCTGCAAAGCTTACAGGCTTATGGATGTCCAGCAGATGGGAGTCCAAAATGTAATTGTGAAAATGAGTGGCATTGTGGAACTTGGGGCTGTGAGACATTCACCTCATGGATTGGATCTAAGGATAGATGGATTTCCTTTCAGCGTGGAACTCCTGGTATAACAGTGGGAAAATTTAACCCCTTAGTTTTAAAGGTATTGAATGGGCATGATAAAAGTTGGCTTGGAGGGAGGACGTGGGGAATACGAATGTATGTTTCAGGAAAGGACCCTGGATCAGAATTTACTATCCAAAAGTTTGAGATTCCTATAAGCCCTCCAGTACTTATAGGACCTAACAAAGTCCTTAATCCTCCCTTACCACCAAAGCTACTTCCTGCTATGTCAGAGCCACCCCCTATTACATATGCTAATTCCCATAGTGTTTCACGATGGAACGCCCCCTGAATTTTATATGTCTTTACTCTATACATATGAGTTTTTCAATGCTACTGAACCGAGTGCCACAAGAGACTGCTGGCTGTGCTTGGACCCTAGACCTCCTTACTATATAGGAATAGGAGCAGGTATAGTGGGTGCCACAGGAATAGGGACTGCTGCACTTATAAAAGGGGAAGTAAATTTTAAAGCTCTCACCCATCAAATAAATCTAGATTTAAAGGATATGGAACATCAAATTACAAATTTGACTTATTCCCTCAATTCATTAGCTGAGATGGTGTTACAAAATCAAACTTAACTTACTCCTTTGATTCTTTAACTGAGGTCATGTTACAAAACTGTCGAGGGCTAGATCTTGTCTTTATGCAACAAGGAGGATTATACATGGCACTGGGTGAAAAATGTTGCTTCTATGCTAACCATACTGGAGTGATTAGAGATAGTATTAGTTTAGTCCAGCAACAAATTAATGCTCGAGAAAGGGATCTCAGTAATCACCAAAACCGGTATGAGTCCTTATTTTCCTGGTCACCCTGGCTGACCACCTTAAGTGCTGTTTCTGGGCCTGTGATTCTTATTCTTTTAATTTTTGCTCTTGGGCCTTGTATCGTAAATGCCCTTGTAAAATTTATTAATCAGAGATTCCAGGCAATAAAACTCATAATATTAAGAACCCAATATAAACAATACCAGTGCATGAAGGAAGCTGTACGTAATAGTTCAAAGAATTAACCTTACTCACAACAGGAGTGGGGAATGAACTGGCTCAGCAAACTTCCCTAAATTACTCCATTTTGTTCAGAGCAATTTCAGAGAGAAAGCCCAGCCTGTTGAAAATTAAAATTTACCTTGCTACTTTTCTTAAAGTGGTGTTGGTGATTTTTTACGAACTCTGTCCTATAACAATTTTTCTTTTGAGACAAGGTCCCCCTGTTGCCCCAGTTGGCCTGAACTTGCTATATAGACCAGGCTGGCCTTGATCTCACAGAGATCTGCCTGTTTCCTGGATGCTGAGATTAAAGGATTACAACAACACCATGCCCAGCTCTGCAGTGTAGAAAATAGAGTTCTCTCTCTCTCTCTCTTTTTTTTTGTCTTTTGGGTTTTTGAGATAGGGTCTCACTTTGTAGGCCTGGATGGCTTGGAACTTGCTCTGTAGACCAAGGTGACTTGAACTCACAGAGATCTACCTGCTTCTGCCTACCAAGTATTGAGATTAAAGGCATATGCAGGTTACCTGGCACATTTTTAATTACGTAATTATTTAATTAATATGTGTGAGTGCCACAGAATTCATGTGGAGGTCAGAGGAAAACTAGAGAGTTGATTCTCTCCTATCTTATGGGTCCTGGAGATCAAACCCAGGTCCTTAGACTTGGCGGCCATCTTTTAGTCCCTGCTCCCTCCTCTTAATTAATTTATAGACTATGTACATAGTGAGTTAAAAAACAAACAAAATACACCAGAAAAGGGCGTGGGAAACAGCTCAGGGGATACAGATGTTTGCTCCAAGCCTGATGACCTGATTTCAAACCCCAAGACACACAAGGTGGGATAACCAACTTCCACAAGTATTCGGGTCCTCCCTCCTGCGCACCTGAGGAAAACAAAGGCGCAGAGAAGCGTGACCGGCCCGAGAGTCGCACCCATAAGATGTGCCCGCTGCGGTGGACTCTGAGTGACCAGGCCAAGCAGCACGCGACAAGGCAAAGAAGCAGCCGCCCAAGGGGCTCTGGAGGGGCAGGGCTCCAAAAGGGGCGGGGCAGCCTCGGGGGCGTGGCTACCGGCGCGGCCTCCCCCTCAGCCGGCGCGTTTCTGATAAGGGCTGGCCGTAGCCCTCCTGCGCCTGCGCACTGCGATAAGGCTGGTGAGGCGGCCCGGGCGGGACTGGCGACAGGCCACGCCTGCCTACTTACAGGGACTTTAAGCCGCCAAGATGGCGCTGAAGGTGAGACCCTCGGCGGCCGCGGCGGCCCCACCCGGGTCCGGGAGCCCCGCGCGAAGGACCGAGTAGCGCTGCCCGGGCCGCGGTTCTGCGCTCGTGGGTCTGCGGCGGCCTCAGTGCCCCCGACCCTCGGGGACAGCTACGTCCTCCGTCCCCGGCGCGTCCATGAACTCCGTGTCGCCTGCCGCCGCGCAGTACCGCAGCGGGAGCCCGGAGGACGCGTGCCGGCCCGAGGGTCGGAGGCCGAGGGGACCAGCACGGATCCCCGATCCCAACGGCGTGGGACCCTCTGGGGCCGGCGGAGCAGCGCCCGGCTCATCCGGGACGGACCCCGGCGAGCCGGACGAGGTGGACAAGTTCAAAGCCAAGTTCCTGACAGCCTGGAACAACGTCAAGTATGGTGAGGGGAGTGTGCAGAGGTCAGGAGTTGCTAGGGGTCCCTGCCCTGCCGAGGATCCCCTCCGAGGGTTCTCTCTTGTAAGTCAGATGATCTGTCTAGATGCAGGTCTTCCATCTGGCCCTGCCCAGGGTGGACCTGGGACACAGGTCGAATGGTGAGGAGTTTCCATTGCCCCTCTTTGACCTTGGGCAAATTTCTTTGCTCCCTTGTGTTGTGTGGTTCCATATTCTCCCCTCTCTAAAATGGGTGCAGTAGTCAGAACACAGCTGAGTGGTAGGGGCTCACACTTCTCATCCAAGCACTTGGGAGACGGAGGCAGGTGGATCTCTGTAAGATTGAGGCAGCCTGGTCTACAGTAAATTCCAGGTGAGCCCTTGTCTCAAAAAAAAAAAGAAAAAAAAGAAAAAAGGTGGACATGATCCAGGTGTGGTGGTGCACCCTCAAATCCCAGCACTGGGGAGGCAGAGGCAGGCATACCTCTATGAGGCCAGTCTGGTCAACATATCGCTTTCCAGGCCAACTGGGTTACAAGATTGACCCTATCACAAAAACATAATCAGACAAAATACTGGAAAGGGTAGGTGAGATGGCGCAGCAGGTAACGGCACTTGCTGCCAAGTCTGATGAGCTGAGTTCAGTCCCCAGAATTCACACAGTTGGAGAACTGACTCTTCAAGTTGTCCTCTGTCCTCCACTTGTCCCATCAGACACCCACACACACATACACAGATGCACACACCAAATAAATCAAAACATAATTGAATTTTAAAGAAAAACGAGAGGCCAATAGAACAGGTGACTCTGAATGGATAGTAGACATGGTGTGGATTTTGAAAAGCTGCCTCTGCTAGGATTTCACAGCTGGGGGAATGAAAGTGCTATTGCTGACAAGCTAGTATCTCATGTCACTGGTGGTGCCCCTGGCACTGCCCCTCATCTCCCCAGGTTGGGCCGTTAAGAGCCGGACCAGCTTCAGCAAGATCTCCAGTATTCACCTCTGTGGCCGTAGATACCATTTCGAGGGCGAGGGTGAGATGTCACAGCTGGGACTGGGTTGGGGAAGACCTCTCCTAGGGTTGTCTGTGGTTGCCAAGCTGATGGGTCAGCTCTTGTAGGTGACATCCAGCAATTCCAGAGGGACTTTGTATCTCGACTATGGCTCACGTACCGCCGGGACTTCCCGCCTCTGGCTGGAGGCAGCCTGACTTCAGACTGTGGCTGGGGATGTATGTTACGCAGTGGTCAGATGCTGCTGGCCCAGGGCCTGCTGCTGCATTTTCTGCCTAGAGGTGAGCTCTGTGTGTGTGCTTCTGGGTTAGCAATTTTAGACTTGCTTGCAAGTTGAGAATTAAAAGGTGCATTGAAATTGTTTCCAAGCCAGGCATGGTGGTACATGCCAGGCCTTGAATCCTAATACTTGGGAGGTTGATGCAGGAGTATGAATTATAGTACCCAGTCTGGGCTACATAGTGAGGTATGTTTTGTTTGTTTGTTTGTTTTTTGTCTTTTTGAGGCAGGGTCTCTCTGTAGCTGCAGCTGGCCTGGATTCTCTATGGAGACCAGGCTGGCCTTGAACTCACAGAGATCCGCTTGCCTTTGCCTCCCGAGTGCTGGGATTAAACGCATAGACCACCGCGCCTGGATGTTTGTTTTTTGAGTCACAGTCTCACTATATAGCCTTGAAATTTGCTATGTAGACCAGGCTAGCCTCCAACTCACAGAGTTCTGGTTACCTCTGCCTCAACCAAGTTTAAGGCCAGCTTGAGGGCTGCATGGTAAGAATCTGTTGGAATAAGCAAAACAGGAATAAGTCAGGCATGCTGGTGCACACATCTAAACCTAGCACTTCTGAGGGGAAGGTAAGAGGATCAGGAGTTCAAGGTCATCCTCCCGTACATAGCCAGCTCTTTGGTGCATACCTTTGATCCCAGCACTCAGGAGGCAGAGGCAGGTGGGTCCCTGAGTTCAAAGCCAGCCTGATCTACATAGCAAGTTCTAGGCCAGTTGGGGCTCTGTCTCAAACACACAATAAAATACAATACAAAAAACCCAGCCAGGCATGGTAACATGCGCCTGTCATTTTAGTACCTGAGAGACTGAGGCAGGTTGAAGAGTCCAGGGCCAACCTGGTCTACATGGCGAGCTCCAGGCCAGCTGGGACTATAAGGAGACTCAGACTAAAAAAACAAAACAAAGGTATTTATAGCTCACAGGAAATGCTAGACTTGTCAGAGACCATTAAATAGGATAGAATAGGAAAATTGTCTCCCAAACACAATAGCACTGTGTAATTTTATACTTCATTCCCTCTGCAGACTGGAGGTGGCCAGAGGGTGCAGGCCTGACTCCCTCTGAGATGCCAGGGCAGGCCTCTCCTGGTTGGCACCGAGGGCTGGGCCACCGGATGCCCCCACGATGGACCCAGTGCGCCCCTGACCTGGAGCAGGACCGTCGGCACCGGCAGATCGTGTCCTGGTTCGCCGACCACCCCCAGGCCCCCTTTGGCCTACACAGGCTGGTGGAGCTGGGGCGTAGCTCAGGCAAAAAGGCCGGGGACTGGTACGGGCCCTCACTGGTGGCACACATCCTCAGGTGAGACCTACCACAGGGAAGATGGGAGCCTCTAGGGAACCCCAAGAATTCAAGCCTGTCTGCTTTCTGCCCCCAGGAAAGCTGTAGAGAGTTGTTCAGAGGTCACCCACCTGGTGGTGTACGTCTCTCAGGACTGTACAGGTAAGACCCAGAGTATCCTGCGCTACCTGACAACCTGTTTCTTGGGGCTGACGAAAGTTCTGGGGCAAAAGGACAGTTGAGGAAGATTCTACGAGGTGCATGCGGGGTCCCCGCCTCTGCCTCTCCCTGCACAACCTAGAGAGGGCAGAGTGAGGGGTTAGAGACAGGAGGCTTGGTCTCTGGAAACTCATTCACTTTATTGTTGTTTGAGACAGGCTCTCCCTGTAGCCCCAGTTGGCCTGGAACTTACTATGTAGTTCAGGCTGCCCTCCATCTCACAGAAGTCCACTGGCCTCTGCCTCCCAAATGCTGGGATTAAAGGCATACCACACTTGGCCTGCCTTGATTTTTGAAATCTGGGACTCCCCCTTTAGGATAGGCTGTCTAGCCAGAGAGCCCCAGAGACCAAGCTGTGGGCCTTCTTAGTCTTGGGATCACAAACATTTGCCACATGCCTGGCTCTTTTTATATGGGTTCTGTTGGGGCGGGGGAGGGAGTCTGTTCTTTGCAAACCCTTTATCAACCCTGCTACCTCTTCATAAAAGGCCCCTTTTAAACTAATTTGTTTGTTGGATGTGGCAGCACACAACTGTAATCCCAGCACTGTGCAGGCTCAGGCAGGAACATACTGAGTTCAACATGATTCTTGGCTACATAGTTGCTGCCAGGCCAATCCAGCCACGTGACACATCTCAAAGTAACTAAAAAGTAAATAAATCAATACAACAAATTGATATTGAGGGAAGCAGAAACAGTAACATTTATAAAGATCTATTGAATATACCTTGCTCTGAACAGGGTCTCTACAATGCCAACTGAAAGCATTTTAGAGAGAAATTTATTTTTTGGTCTTTTTGAGACAGGGTCTCCCTGTAGCCCCAGCTGTCCTGGATTGACTATGAGGACCAGGCTGGCCTCGAACTCACAGAGATCCACCTGCCTCTGCCTTCTGAGTGCTGGGATTAAAGGCGTGTACCACCACGCCCAGCCTAGAGAGAAATTTTTGTGTGTTGGTGTAGGCCAGAGGATAGGTTTCTGGAATCAGTTCTCGTCTTCCACCACGCAGGTTCCACGACCCAAATGAATTCATCAGGCTTGGCAGCAAGCACTTTTACCCACTGAGCCATCTTGATTGCCCTTTTTAAAAAAAACAATATTGTGGTGGCACATGTCTTTAATCCCAGGAATCAGGAAGCAGAGGCAGGTGGATCTCTCTTGAGTTCAAAGCCATCCTGGTCTATATAGTGTCAAGCCAGCTGGGGCTACAGGGAGATCCTGTCTTAAAAAAAAATATTGTGTGCAAGAGCATGGGTGCCTGCCGAACCATCTTACTCTACACTTTTTTGTATTACTGAGTCACCAAATTCCTGTGACACCTTATGAAACTGTGGTGTCACCTTATGACAACATATGATCTGACATCCCATCACAGCTGTTTTGTAGAGTGAATGGAGGCTGCTGAGATAGTTCAGTGGTGCCTGCTGCCAACATGACAAACTGAATTCCATCTTCAGAACCACATGGTGGAAGGAGAGTTCAAGGCTAGCCTAGGCCATATAAGATCCTAGCCAAAAACAACCAAAAAAAACAAAAAACTCTGTTAATAGGGATCCCACTTGCCTGGAGGACTCACTGCTATCTAGGAGACTTGAGGTCCACTAGAAAGACATTCTTTGCCAAATTGCCCACCAAGAGCTTGCAAGGGGGGCTGGAGAGTGGCTCAGTGCTTAAGAACACTGATTGTTCTTGAAGAGGACACAGGTTTAGTTCCCAGCACCCACATGGTATCTGTAACTACAGTTCTGGGGAATCCGATGCCCTCTGCAGCCCTTGTACAACATAGATGCACTTGCAAGTAGACAAAACACTAATACACCTAAAAAAAGTCAAAGAGGTTGCAAGGGCAGGGCTGTGCTGGTGTTAGAGAGGCCACAGGTTGCAAGGCTTGAAGAGTGGGTAGAAAGGTGATTTACTCATCCCGTCCCCTCAGTCTACAAGGCCGATGTGGCACGCCTCGTGTCCTGGCCAGATCCTACAGCGGAGTGGAAGTCTGTGGTCATCCTGGTGCCTGTGCGACTAGGTGGTGAGACCCTCAACCCCGTGTATGTACCCTGTGTGAAGGTAAGTTCCACCTGAATCCAGGCACTGCTGTGTGGGAATCCCCCAGACTTAACAGCTTGGTTTAAGGTTGTGACTTTATCCTGTTGTGTTTGTGTGTGTGTAAGTCAGTGGTCAACCTTGGGGTGTCATTCCTCAGGAACTGTTCACTGTGTGTGTGTAGTGTGTGCACATTTGTGTATGGGTGTACACACATGTATATGGAGTACACATGCAGAAACCAAAGGAAGACAGGGTGTCTTGCTCTATCAGTCTCTGCCCCCTACAGCACTAGGGTTACAGGCATATGTGATCACATCCAGCTTTTTACATGGTGCCAGGGTTTTGAACTCAGGTCCTCATGCTTGCACAGCAAGTGCTATTATGCACTGAGCCATCTCCCTAGCTCCCACCTTGTTTTTTGAAATAAGGTCTCACTGAACCTGGGGCTCCCTAAGTATGCTAGGCTAGCCTGCAGCCCCAGGGCTTTGCCTCTCTCCTCCTCCTGTTGTGGGAATTTCAGGCACCTGTCCCCATGCCCAGGTTTTTCATATGGGTGTTGGGGATTGAACTCAGATCCTCATGTTCATAAGGCAAGCAGTTCAGCAAGGAGCCCCCTCCCCAGCCTCTGTGGTATGTTTATTCACTTTATACAGCTGGAAGTGTGTGTCCCTCATTGTACCAGGGCTGGGACTCAGATCCAAGGAAATGAGCTGAATTCTGAGTGCAAGATGGAAGGGTTGGTTCTGTCTAAGTGTAACTCCCTGACAGACTTGGGGTGCAGCTCTGTGGTAGAGCTCTATGCCAGGTGCACACACACCAATTCAGTCACCAGCACCAGCCAAGTGTGGTGTACACCTTTAAACCCAGCTTTTGGGAGGCAGAGGCAGAGGGATCTCCATGAAATTGAGGCCAGCCTGGTTTACATAGTGAGTTCCAGGCCAGCTGGGGCTAAGGCGTGAGGTTCTGGACCCCAAAGATAGCCTCAGCTACAAATAAAGTTCAAGGTCAGCCCAGGTCTCAAAAAGAAAACAAAAATTTGGCATTCTAATGTGGACTTTAAACTCAGGAAAATACTCCAGTAAAGGGCAGGTGAGGGTTTGCAGAGCCAGAGGAAAGCCCCTCTCCAGCAGGAAGGCAAATGAACCAGAAGAGACGGATCCCAGGGAGAGGGTCAGCATGACAGGCTCAGAGTGGGAAAGTTCCTGGCATCTTTGCACTTAGAAAAGCCAGTTCTCTCTGTAAGTCCTATGACGCTAAGCCATCTATTCCTGGGACCTCCTTGAGGTCCTTGTCCTCCATCCCTCTCACTCTGCTCTGGCTACTTAAGCCTGTGCAGTTTCTAGAATACCCCTACCCCAGGGCCTTTGTACTTGATCTTCATATTTCCTGGAAGACTCCCTAGACCTGCATGTTGTCCCTGCCCCCAGGTCTTTCTTGGGGAGTCCTCTCAGCTAGGCTTTCTCTACTTCCTTAAAGTGTGAAGTTCTGCACTCTGAAGGGGCATGTGTGAGGTCTGAGTTCCATAAAATCATTGTGGTGGCACACTCCTGTCATCTTAGTATTTGGGAGGTGGAGACAGGCAGATCAGAAGTTCAAGTCACCTTTGGCTACATGAGACCCTTCCTGACTCAAAAAACAAAGGCCTGTGAGATGGCCCAAGCCTGACAACTTGATTTCGAATCCTGGGACCCACATGATAACAAGAGAGAACCAACTCCCAAAAGTTGTTCTCTGACCTCCACAGATATGCCACATGCAATCACACAGGTAAATAATAATAAAAAGATAAAGCCAGGCGTGGTAGCACACGCCTGTAGTCCCAGCACTTGGGAGGCAGAGGCAGGCGGCTCTCTGTGAGTTCAAGGCCAGCCTCATCTACATGCTGGCTCATAACTTACCTATCAGCTCCAGTTACAGTCCTGATGCCCTCTTCTGGTCTCCACAGACACTTGAACACACACACAAATCTTTACAGAAAAATAGGTTATGAAGTCCTTTGCCTTCCCTTCTTTATCCTTTTCTATAAGGTTTTCACCTCTGACAGATGGGTTTCTGTCCTAGAATGTCAGAGTGGGGTGTGATTAACATGACTGCTGGTGCCCACCACCTCCCCTAGGTAGGTTCATGCACTCTAGGCACCTGCTCAGGGTTTGTTGAGTAATTGTCTGAAGCCACCTTTGTGCTTCCCACTCTCCTCCCTACAGGAGCTCCTGCGGTCAGAACTCTGCCTGGGCATCATGGGGGGCAAGCCCCGCCACTCTCTCTACTTTATTGGCTACCAGGGTAGGCCTGGCCCTATACTGCACCAAAGCCCCCAACCTTCCCCTTCCCTGCCCCAGCTCATAGCTGCCCCTCTACAGATGACTTCCTGCTCTACCTGGACCCCCACTACTGCCAGCCCACAGTAGACGTCAGCCAGGCTGACTTCCCCCTGGAGGTAAGCTGGTAGTCTCAGATGGGGGCTGTGGGCATGGGCATGGGGGGCCCTGCAAACCTCTCACGTCTGTCTACCCCAGTCTTTCCACTGCACCTCACCCCGAAAGATGGCCTTTGCCAAGATGGACCCCAGCTGTACTGTGGGCTTCTATGCTGGGAACAGGAAGGAGTTTGAGACCCTCTGCGCAGAGCTGACCAGGGTGAGCTAGAATGGTGTGAGGCAAGGGAGGAAGAGGCTGGGAGCAGAGGAGCAGAATGGAGGTGCAGCTATGTGTCTGATTTGGAAAATGCAGATTTAAGGCATTGGGGCATAGGGCATGGCTCAATAGTATAGCCCCTGCCTAGAATCACCCAGTGAGGGGCTAGGGGCATGACTTCGTGGTAGAACACTTGCCTAGTGTATACAATACAAGAATATTCACAGTTAAAAATCATAGGGCAGCCGGGTGTGGTGGCGCACGCCTGTAGTCCCAGCTCTTGAGAGGCATAGGCAGGCGGATCTCTGTGAGGTCAAGGTCAGTCTGGGCTACATAGTGAATTCCAGGACAGCTGGGGCTACAGGGAGACCCTGCTTCAAAAAGACCAAAAAAAAAAAAAAAAAACAAAAAAAAAAAAAAAAAAAAATCATAGGGCAGACTGTGGTCACAGTTTAGCATTAGTCAGTGTAGCTAGATACTGCAAGACACTGATCTGTCAACAGCTTCCTGCTTTCCACCTCCCTCAGGTCCTCAGTTCTTCCTCAGCCACAGAGCGTTACCCCATGTTCACAGTGGCCGAGGGCCATGCTCAGGACCACAGCCTGGATGGCCTGTGCACCCAGCTCTCCCAGCCCACACTTCAGCTGCCTCGCTCTGGATGCCTCAAGGCTAAACGGCCCAGCTCTGAGGACTTTGTGTTTTTATAGTGTGGGGGGGAGGGAGAAGATGCCAGATTATTTATTTTTTTATTTATATATCTATAACTCCAGTGCTGGTGGTGGGAATCCATATCCTCACACTCCATCCTCCCAGTGAGCCCCAAGCGCAGCTAGATCCCCAGCTTGGGGCTGTACCCATTGGCTGCCACTCCCCCTTGGTCCCTCTGGGAACAGCAATGGAGGGCGGGGCCCAGGGCACTCACTCAGGGCCTGACCCAAGTACTGTAGCTTGCACTGGAGTGCCTGAATGCCTCACTGTCCTGGAGCCTCTGGGCCAGGAGAACTAACTATGGCTGCTGGAGCTAATAAAGATGTTGAACTTGACCATGGCTGGGGTGGAGCGTGACACTTCAAGGATGTCATGGGGAAGATGGTTCAGTTAGCCTGTTTCTACATCTAAAGAGGAGAGAGCTAGTATCCTTGCCTGAAGATAGATGATGTGGATCAGCGGAAGGTACACTGTCCCCAGCTTACTGTGGAGGCTCCCATGGCCCTCAGGGGCAGCTCTTGGATCCCAATTGTTTCCTCTTCTGGCGACCCATCTGGCGGAAGTGCAGCCGTCTAGGGTTCAGACCAAAGGCCTGCAATCTCTGGCGGCTGAACTCATGGCCACCAAGTGTCACTGTGGGGCCCAGTAGCCTAGACTTCTTGCCCTTCTTCCGTCTCTGGTGGACTGGCTTTTCAGGAGGTGACACACGGGACTTCCCTTCTTCCTGTGCTGGGGGGGTCTCACTCCAGGCCTGCTTCCCAAAAGCTCTCTCAGGCAAGGGCAACTGTGGTCTTCCGGCTGCTTCTGAGGGTATCTCCATCCTAAAGGGGAAAGTTAGGGATTAGGTGAGCCTCTTGTTAACAGCAGCAACAGGATTTGAGCTTTTTTGGTTTTTGATTTTCTGTTTGAGACAATGTCTTATGTAGCTCAGGCTGGCCTCACATTCTTATGTAGCTAAAGATGACCTTGAAAATATCCTGTCTACTTCCAAAGTACAGGCCAACAGGTGAGTACCACCACACCCAGCACGGACACTTGATTCCCAGTGTTTCCATAAATAAACTCAATCTCTAACAACCTGATGAACCATGGTCTGAACCACACATTACAGATAAGAAACAGGCTGAGAGGGACAGCGATTTGCCTTAGGCCACACAGCTGAGGCAGCAGTAGGAATGGAACTTTGGTCCTTAAGGCATCATGTTCCATTCCCAAGGTTGGACAATGGGGGACTGACAGAGCTAGACCCCCCAGCCTGACATTCCTGCCCTGCACACCCTCCAGGGGCCCACTGTGCTTACTCCTGGCAGAGTGACTTGAAGACCTGCCTCTTCTTCCAGGTATTTTGGGCCTTCTGGCTGTATGCCCACCTCTCCTGCAGCTCCTCCTGCTCTGACCTGTGTGCCACATTGATGTATCAGTGGAAGCCAGAAGGTGCTCCAGCCTACTGCCCATGTCCAACGGGTTACACCCTACCCATCACCTGTACATGCAGGTCTTCTTTAGGGAACACCAGCGGTTCAGCTCCTTGTCATCTGCCGCCAGGATCTGTAGGGGAGGAAGGGAAACTATTCACCATGTGGCTTCCAGGCTGCCCCTGATGCCCATGGGGAAACCAGGCCACTTCTGTGGTGATGCTGGAACTGTTCCCCTCTGAACCCTAATCAAAGCCGTGGTCAGCAGGCCACTGTCACCCAGCAGGGATGGCAGCAAAGTGGGAGATGGCTGAGCTCTAAGAATTTTCTGATTTTTAGGAAAGGTCTCATGTAGCCCAAGCTGGCCTCCAACTCTATGTAACACAGACGCCCTGAATTTCTGATTTCTCCTAGCTGTACCTACCATGACAGCTTTCATTTATGTTTGTTTGTTTTTTGAGACAGGGTCTCCCTGTAGCTCCCTGAACCTGGAGTTCACTAGACCACACTGGCCTTGATCTCACAGAGATCCGCCTGTCTCTGCCTCCCAAGTGCTGGGATTAAATGCATGTACTACCGTGCCCAGCCCTTACTTGAGTATCACTGGCCCTGAAGTCATCAGACCCCTGCCTCAGCCTCCATGCTGGGATGCCAGGTGCTCCCGAGTAGGGAACAGGCTACCATGTGGTAGCATCTTTTAGTTAAGTCCTCCCCTTTCCTGCGTCTCCCTAGTTGCCCTGCCCACTCTCATCCCCACCTCCTCGGTGGTGAGCCCGAAGTCGCAGGGCACCACACTGCGGTACTTGAAGCGACAGGGTAGGTCGTCAATTATGTCCTCGTAGTCAAGCTGGTAGTACTCATCCACATACTCCTGGAAGGTCTTGTTCCCTACAGCGGACACATCATCAGGCTGTGGGGACTCCGAGACACAGAAGCCAGTTGCCCACACCTCCCATTATGCCCCCAGCCTCACCAGGGTCAAACATGGGCTTCTCCTGCCCCACAGCAGCTGCAAAGGGAGACTTGCGCTTCTTCTTGCCTGAGGAAGTGGCCTCAAGCCGTTTCTTCCGTGGCTCTCTGGGGTCGTAGTCCGCGTCCATCTGCCAAGATGTACTAGTCAGACCTGGTCAGTCCTCGAGGTCCCTAGAGGCTCCCACAAACCAAGCCAGTGCTACTTTTTTAATTTAAAAAAATTCATTTTATGTGTATGAGTGTTTTGCTTGCATCAGCAAGAGCATTTGTACATGCAGTGCCTGCAGAGGTCAGAAGAAATCAAATCCCCTGGAACTGGAGTTACATATGGTTGTAAGCCACCATGTGGGTGCTGGGAACTGAACCCCAGTCTTCTGCAAAAGCAGCCAGGGCTCTTAACTGCTGAGCCAGCTCTCCGGTTCCCCTGTTCTTTTTTGGAAGTCTTTCATTATCCAGGCTGGCCTCAGATGTCCTATATAGTCAAGGATGACCTTGAACTGCTTTTCTTCCTGCCTCCACCTCCCAAAGGCTTGGGGTGACAGGAGTGTGCCACCACGCCTGTTTATGTGGTGCTGGGGATGCAGGCCAGGTAGTTGTATATTTTAGGCAAGTGCTCTCTACTCACTCAGCCTCAGCCCCACCAATGGCACTTACATTAAAGTCAGGGTCCTCACAGTGGGGTTCCTGCTGGCTCCAGGCTCCATCTTGTACTGTCCCATCCCACGTGTCCCAGTTCCAGTCATCTGAGTACACAGAGGACAGAGTTAGGGCAGGACCTCACACCCTGTATCTGTGCACCCGGCCCCCAGCTTCGTCCCTGATACCTACCTTCCAACCCTTCCTCTTCCTCAAACTGTGGCTTTTCTCCCTCAGCGGTGCTATAGAAGGCATCTCCAAAGCATTTCTGTGGGGTCCAGCCAGACCTGAGGGTCAGCACTGCCCATTCCATTGCAAGACCTAGATTTTCCATGAAGATACCAACATGCCCTGCTGCACCCCACCCTCCTTATTTTTTGGTTTTTGTTTGATTTGTTTTAAAACAGGATGTTCCTGTAGCTGTCCTAGAACTCACTACGTACACTAGTTTGACGTTGGCCTCGAACCTAGATCTGGCCTGCCTCTGCCCCCTAAGTGCTGGAATTAAAGGTGTACACCATTTCACCAGCCATGTAACCCTTCAGTCCAGCTCTGTGGAACTTGGAGCCTGTGCTTACCAGCACCTGGTATACCACCCCATTGTTGATGACCTAATTGCTAGTCAGGCCTCAACTTGATTTAATTGTCCTCACACCTGGCAAGCTGACTATACTTGAAGATCCTACTTTTATCAGACAGGGTGTCTCAACACTGAAGAGGCCAAGGCAGGAGTATCACCATAAGTCTGAGGCCAGCCTGGCTACAGAGTAAGACCTGTGTCAGAAAAACAAAAAGTGATACCACATGTCTCCACCTCTGTCCTGCTCCCTGTGCGTTATACCTGCACAAGGATATATCAGGCATACAGTAGGTGCTTGGTGACCATACAGCTGAGCTTAGGGACTATGACCAACTATATCTAGTGAGGTCTGTCTGAAACCCTCTCATGGTAATAAACAGGCGGCAAGACTGCCAGCTCTGTAGTCGTTAAGCCAACAACTGACTCCACTGTGTGCTGGTCTGTGTTAAGTTGGTGGGTACAAATATTTTTGGTTTTGTTTCATTTTTGTGGCGCTAGGGCAGGAACCCAAAACCTCCCAACATGCAATGCAGGTGCTCTACAGCCAGGCCCCCAGTGCCTCATTGGGGGAATCTAGGCAGGCTATACAATTGAATCTTGCTGCCAGCCCCCTACTGGAGGATTTTAATGCAAGGACTCTACCTATTAGTCACTCACTCAGCCCCCTTACTGGGCAATTTGAGGCAGGGGCTCTATCTCTTGGCCACACCCCCAGCCCCTTACTAATGGATTCTATATAGGCTTCTAACATGCTATGACCCCAAACCCAGCCCTTCCCATGCATATTTTTTCTCTAACAAAAGGTCTTGTTATATAGTCTAGGCTGGCCTCCCACTGTATATATGTTGACATTGTGATCCTCCTGCCTCAGTACAGGTGCCTGTGCACATAACCCACTGTTCCTTGGGGCTTAGCCATCTAATCATTCCTATGAGTTCTTCCCCATCCATCATTCCCTAGCCTGAGGTTGATGTTTCAAGAAGTCTCACTTTACAGTCAAGGGGAATGGTTCAGAGCACTTGGGTTGTTTCTCAGAGGCCACACAGCTAGGAAGGGAACCCTAACTGCATAGCCATGTTGGTGAGTTGTACCTGCATGAGCTGATCGTGCTTGGCAGGGTCAAAGTCCTCCTCCAGGTCCTGTTCCTCCAGGCCCAGGGTCTCATTGCCAGTGACCTGCCGCAGCTTCTCCAGCTTGGCCAGAATCTCCTTCCTCTTGAGGTTCTTCAGCTGCTTCAGCTCCTCTCTCTTCCTGGCCTTCTCCTGTGGCCAGGAAACACTGCTGCAACTTTCTGAACAGCCTGGGCGCCTGTACAGCCAGCTTCCCAACATACTTTTTTCTTTTTTGAGACAGGGTCTCATGTAGCTCAGGCTAGCCTAGAACTAGCTACCTAGCCAAGGCTAACCATGAACTGCTGATCCTCTTGCTTTACCTCCCAAATGCTGATAAAGACTTGCAGTGCTATGTCTGGTTTATACATTGCTGGAGATGGAACCCAGGGCTTCGTTCATGCTGGACAACTGAGTGTTCTACCACAAAAAGCCACAGCCACTGCTTTTTTACTTACCTTTTTATTTTATGAGTGTTTTGCCTGCATGTATGTAAATGCACCACCTGCATGCAATGCCCACAGAGGACAGAAGATGTCAGAACCCCAGGAACTGGAGTTAAGGACTGTTGTTAGCAGCCAAGTGGATGATGGGAACTGAACCTGGGTCCTCTGAAAGAGCAGTCAGTGCTCTTAACTGCTGAGCCACCTCTCCAGCCCCATCTTTCTGGGGTTTTTTGTTGTAGTTGTTTTGTTTTTGAGATAGGGTAACTCACTATGTAGACCAGGCTGTCCTCAAACTCATAGAGATCCACATGCCTCTGCCTTCAGAGTACTGGGATTAAAGGTGTGTGCCAATACGAAGGACTTATGTTTACTCGTATTTTAAGGTGGTCTAGTGAAGTTGCCCGGCTTGGCCTTGAACTCCTCACATAGCTCAGGCAGGCCTGAAATCCAGTTTTCCTTTCTCTGCCACCCTAAGGGGTGGCACCTAAGCACGTGCCATGGTGCTGGGTCCACTCACCCTCCTCTTTCGCTCCCTAGTTTCTTCCCTCTTCTCCTTCCTGCGTTCATCCTTGCGGCGCACAGATGATGCAATGCTACGTGGGTAGGTCTTCACCTGTGGGCACCAGAGAAACCCAGAGAAGCCACAGACATGATTTGGGCCTGAAAGAGCTCAACCCTGGGCAGCCATGTCCTCCCAGACCCCAGCCCAGAGCACACACTGAGGCCGAGTCAGGCTCCTCAAAGCGGAAGTTATACTTGTGTTCAAAGTCTTCCTGCTTCTTCAGGAACAGCTCCCCTTCATCTGAGGAGTCATCCACAGCCAGCTGGACTGGGGGGCCAGGCACCCTGTAAGACGAGATAAGAGTGAGGCTCAGCATATAAGGGAGCTAGGTCAGACCACTGGCATCTGCATGCTTGGGTACCAGAACTCATTTCATTGCCCACAAGAACCCCATAATGGAGTCTGGTAAATGGCTCAGGGGGTAAAGAAGCTCGTGGCCAAGGCTGACTACCTGAGTTCAATCCCTAAGACCTACAAGGTGGAAAGAAAGAAGAGACTCCAGCAAGCTGTCCTCTCATTTCTAAACATGCATGTGCACACTTGCGCGCGTGCGCACGCGCGCACACACACACACACACATATACACGTAATGAAAAATTTAAAAATCATGTAAGGAAACAAACAACAAACTCTCAGTCCCCTTTGGCTCCTGGCCTGCACACTGGTCAGCCTTGGGAAGGTTTGGTGGCTACTCACCCTTCCTCTTTCTCCTCTTCCTCTTCTTCCTCATAGCCTTTGTTCAGGATATAATCCCTTAGGAATTGCTCTCCCTCGTCCAGTTCTGGATTGTTCCAATATTCCTTGAGGTGTGCCTATGGGGAAGGAGGGGAAGAGGTGACAGGACACAAGTCCCCCAGTGAGAGACAGGGAGGTGGTATCAGATGGTGCTTGGGAATTGAAACTGCGCAGCTAACCCACATTAAGTGGGATTTCCCCCCATTTTCTTTTACGTATTTTTCCTTTCTTTGAGATAAGGTCTTGCTGTGTAGCTCAAACTGACCTTGCACTGGTAGCAATCCTCCAGCCCCAGCTCCGAGTGCTGGGATTGCAGGCTGTAGGCCACCATACCTGGGTTGTATTACCTCATTTTATACACTGAGAAACCAGGGCCTAAAGCTTGAAACCCTTCATCTTCAGAGAAGGTGCTAAGGATGGAACGCAGGGCCTTGTGCATGCTAGGCAAGCACTATACCCAATTCACACCCCCAGCCACTCACTGGAGATTCTAAGCAGGTGCTCTACCTCTGACCATGTCCCCAGCCCCTCACTGGGGGATTCAAGGTAGGCGCTGCACTGCTGAGAGAGGCTGGTGTCTGTACAGGTGTCCTTTGGCTATCCCTGAAGGATAAGGTCAGATAGAGTTACAAACAGGCAATTTGGTCCTGGGCATAAGTCTGAGAACTTACCAGTTCCTTTAAGGACTCAGGGTCTTGAATCTCCTTCTGTCCCTTCAGCCACTCCAGGTAGTCAGTGTCCTCCTGGGCCTGAGGAAGGCCAGCAATGAGGTCCTCGGGAGCCCCCACTGCCTGCCACCTGCAGTTCAGGCATCCCAGCAGGGCCTAGGCATTTACCTTTTCCTCCTGGCTCTTAGTGTGTTTCTGCAACAACCCAGAGCCCCCTTCCCCAACACCATCCTCATCGCTGCTGTCCTCCATGAATGCTCGGAAGCTGGAACATTAGAAAACCCACCTCAGCACTAGCAGGCTGGCCCTGTCCCAGTCACACACTGAAGCCCCGAACTCGGTCTTAATCCTCAGTTACCGCCCAGGTCTACTGACCCAGGCCCAACCTCACCTTTCTTTCAGGTGTTTCTGTTCTTCCACATAACTCTTCGAGGAGGTTTCCTGCAGAGGAGGTGCTAGTGTAGGCCTCAGGCCAGACCTGGGCTTCTCAGCCTCTCACCCACCCTCCACTCTTACCCACCTTGAGTCTGTCACTGATGGTGTCCCCATCCGAGTTGTCCTCATCAATGTACTTGCTGTACAGAAAACAATGGACACTTTAGAGTACAGTGCCAATTCATAATGGCTCAACTTACAGTGGCTCAACTTTACAATGGGTTGACTGGGCATTAAATATACATTTATTTATTTTCCATAGAAATCCTTTGTGAGTGTGGTCTGTGTGAGTACTGCATGCACACACGCAGAAGCCAGAGTTCAGTTTGCAGTGTTGTCTTCTATGGCTCTCGACTTTTTAAAAATTTTTATTATATTTATGTGTACATGTACTGTCTGCATGTATGTAAGTGCACCTGTGTTGTTTAATGCTGAGAAGGTCTGAAGAGGGTGTCAGATTCCCCTAGAACTGGAATTAAGGACAGTTCTTAGCCACCATGTGGGTGCTGGGAATCGAATCCAGGTCCTCTGCAAGAGCAGTCAGTGCTCTTAACTGCTGAGTTCTCTCTCTAGCCCCAACCTTTTTTTTTCAAAAAGACCAAAAAAAAAAAAAAAGAATTTTGTGTTTGCCTGCATGTAAGTGCACCTATGCATACTGAGTGTCAGATCCCCTGGAACTGGAGTTATGGACAGTTGTTAGCTGCCATGTGGGTACTGGGAACTGAACCTGGGTCCTCTGTAAGAGAAGCCAGTGCTCTTTACCACTGAGCCATCCCTCCCCTCCTCCATTTTTTTTTTGAGACAAGTTGTCTCACCAAACCAGAAGCTTGTCACTTTTGCTAGGCTGGATAGGCATCGAGCTCTCATGATCTGCCTGTCTCTGACTCCTCCACAGCCCTCCCTGCCTCCCCACTGCTAAGGTCACAGGCAAGCTCTTGGTCATGCCCAGCTTTTTACATGGGTGCTGGGGATTTGAACTCCGGTCCTTATTTTCACAGCAAGTGCTTTTACCCACTGAGCCATCTTCCCCAGGCCCTTTAGTCTTTTTTCAAATTTATTCCTTTCTACCATTTGGTTTTAGGAATCAAACTCAGGTCATCAGGAATACACTGCAAGCACCTTTACCCATTGAGCCATCTTGCTAGCCCTTTTCTTTAAAGACGGGTCTCACTATTTAGTTCTGTCTGGCCTGAAACGCACTAAATAAACCAAGGTGACCTCAAACCTGTGACAATCCTCCTGCTTCTATCCCCCCAGTGTTGGGCTCCACTCTCAGGGGTTCCCGACTTTGTAACCCGTGTTCTGTCTAGCTGTCCCTTAAGCTCTGAAGAAAACTGGGGGCTATAGGTTGGGGACACAGGTTGGCTCCTTACCCTTCTTTCTCCAAAATGACCTTCCTCTCATAGTCCTTCAAGTACATGGGCCGCACTTTCTTCTGCTTTCCTGAGGCTGGGGGCTCCTCTTCACTCTCCGAGGATGAGGATGACACTGTGGGCCAGAGAAGACACCTGTCGTTGCCCCAACTTCCTTTTTTCTTGAGGCAGAGAATCTCACAGGGGAGGGATAGGGTCAGATAGAAGTTTTGATTTTTTAAATTTATTTTTATTTTCCACATATGAGTATTTGACCTGCGTGTGAGTGCACCATGTATGTGCAATGCTCATGGAGGCCAGAAGAGAACATCAGATCCACTGTAACTGGAGTTACAAATGGTTGTTAGCTGCCAAGTACATGCTGGGAACCAAATCAGGGTCCTCTGTAAGAGCAGCCAGTGTTCTTAACTGTTGAGTCATCTCTCCAGTCCCTCCCACCCCACTTTGTTCCAGTATATGTGGAAGCCAGAGGTCAACTTTCTGTGGTGTTCTTCGGGTGCCATCTACCTTTTCTTTTTGAAACAAGGTGTCACTTTCCTTGAATGTATCAATTGGTGAGGCTGGCTGATCATGGAACCCCCAGCAACCCTCCTGTCTCTGTCTCCCCAGCACTGGTTTGCCATTACACCCTGCTTTTTTTTTTTTTCGGTCTTTTTGAGACAGGTCTCTGTAGCCCTAGCTGGCCTGGAATGGCCTGGAACTCACTATGGAGACCAGGTTGGCCTTGAACTCACAGAGATCCGCCTGCCTCTGCCTCCCGAGTGCTGGGATTAAAGGCATGAGCTGCCACCACACCCGGTTCATACCCAGCTCTTTTTACCTGGCTTTTGGGGACAGAACTCACTCAGGTCCTCAGGCATGCATGACAAACACTTTATAAACTGAGCCATCTCCCCAGCCCTAATTTTCTTTCTTTCTTTTTTATTCTTCTTGGAATTAATATGTAGACCAGGCTGGCCTTGAACTCAGAGAGTTCCACCTGCCTCCCGAGTGCTAGGATTAAAGGCATGCACCACCACGCCCTACTTTTTTTTTTCTTTTTTTGAGATAGGGTCTCATATGTAGCTGAAGCTAGCTTTGAATGCTGGCACATCCGCCTCCTGAATGCTGGGATTACAGGTATACACTGACACCTGGGATAGAAAATGATTCTCTCCATGGGGACATCAACTGCTAAAATGCTGGAGGAACTCCTGCTCCATACCTGTTCTCTGATAGAAGGTAACATCTTTCTGGTAAATGCGGGGGTCCTTCTTCTTCAATAAGGACAGTGTCCTATAAAAGTCTCTCTCCTGCTTGGGGTCAAATTCCTGGAATAATAAAAGGGATGGGGCTGATTTCACAAGGGAAGGGGGGCACAAAAGGATGGGAGCTGGTGTGTGTGTACCTGAGCAGGCATGGCCAGAACAGAGGGTAGGGACCATAGGGAGGAACATGACAGAAGTAAAGAAAGACAATTGAACTGAGCATGGTGGCGCACGCCTTTATTCCCAGCACTCAGGAGGCAGAGGCAGGCAGATCTCTGTGAGTTCAAGGACAGCCTGGTCTACATAATGAGTTCCAAATCAGCTGGAGCTATAGGGAGAACCTGTCTCAAAAATACCAAACAAAAAGACAATTGAGAAGGGGAGGTACTTTCAGATGAAGGGGACAGGCATGGAGCAGAGGGTTATCTGGAAGCAAAGGGAAGGGCCTATATGCTCAGTGAGGCCAGGATCAGAACTGCTGTGGGGAGGCTCTGGGTCTACCACCTGGCCAGGAGGTTACTATTACAATGAAAACCAGACCCTTGTGTTTGAAGAAGTGGGAAAGGGGGTTTCTAGAAGACAGGAGGGTTGAACCACTTATTAGGATGGTGAGATGGATCAGTGATGAAGGAGGGAAAAGTTGGAGGTGGGGTATGGCAGCCCCTAGGGATGGTGAGTGTGCACTCAGGTGGATCCAAATCAGGTGCCATTCAAGGGACTTCAGGGTGGATCTTGGAACTTGCTTAGGGCTCTACTGAGTTAGTGTTAAGGCACTCCCTGTGCATCCAAATCTGGAACGTAAGGATGATGTGGTTACCCCTGGGGATCGGGAGGGCACTGCCTATTACTCAAATGGTTTGGTGGGTAGGTCTTGGACATTCCCTTAGAGTTCTATGGGCTTAGGGAAGGAAGTCCAGTGCATCCAAATCAGGTGGTCTGGGAGGCAACCCCAGGGAGAGGGAGGGTGCTGCCTGTCACTTAAGGGATTGGGGTGGTGGTCTTGGATACTACTTTTGTGCTCTGTGGAGTTAGTCATGCACCCTGCCCCTTGGGGGAAGTGGGGAGTATCTAGCAGCCCGATAGAGAAGGTGCTGCCTGTCATTCAAGGAGTTGGGGGATGGATCTTGAACACTCTCTCGGAGTAAGGTACCCCAGTGCATCCAGGTGCGGGTGCAGTGGGTAGGAGAGTGGGGCCCCTCAGGGAAGAAGGAAGTTTTTAGAGGGTTGAAGAGGGCACAGCCTGTCACTCAAAGAACTGAGGGTGGGTCTTGAGGGATTCCTTAGGGCCCTATGAGGTTAGGAATCTAGGTCTGGGTGCACTGGGTGGAGGTCCTGGTCCCGGAAGCTCACCACGCGTTCGTCGCTGGAGTCAGACTCGGAGCTGGAGTCGCCGCCGCTGTCCGGGTCCCCATAGCGGTCCCTCACTGTGGGGCACAGACGGGATTCCCCAGCACCACCCTCAGAATCGGCTGTAGGGACCAGATGAGCCACCTACTTCCCAACACCCCTCCCTGCACGTGCGCCCCTCACTCACACCGCTGCAGCTCCTCGCGCTCGCGGTAGCGACGGTAGCGCGCGGCGAAGGCAGCGTTCACCCGTAATGCAGGGAAGCCGCGCGGGTCCGACATGGCGGTTCGGCGGCCCAGTGCGCAAGCGCGCTTCAGGTCCCGCCCCTAAGAACGACGTCGCGTGCGGCCTTGCCCACCTGGACCTTCTTAAAGGGACAGGCCCCTTGAAGCAGCTCGATGCGCCACTCCCAAGTCTTCTGGGATCTCGTTGGCCTCGAGTACTGCCAGCCACGCCCATGGGTCACGCCCCTGCGGGGAAAGGCCACAGGCCACCGCCCACCCTTCCCCACCCTCCGGGCTCCCGGCACCCAGCTGACATCTGAGGGCCCCTTTCTCCACTCGCGGTTTCCGGCCTCCCTTCCGTTCCGACAGCGCCGGATCGCTGCCCCACCCATGTCAGTAACTCTGAAGCCCTGGGAATGACCATGTCTCTTTTCTTTCCCCCAACTACACAGCACCTTCGATCACGCCCTCCCCCCGCCCAGCTCAGCCTCACCCACGTCCTGGAACCCCAAATACCCCACGCCAGACTCCCCAATCAGAAGCTTTTCATTTAATGGATTAAAACGTCATCATCACACACAATTTCTTTCCATAAAGCTTAATAAATATAATCTTTTTTTCTCAAACTCTGTACAACAGACTGGAAAACAAGCATTCAAGAAAATGGGGATGAACTCAGGCTACTCTTCCCCCTGTCCAAAGCAGGTGGATCACACTTCAAGGGCTCTGAGCATAGCCCCCAAGGTCAAAACCCTGGGGTGATGAGCCCAGTCTGAGGCTCTACCCTGAGGTCTCTGCATCCCTGGGTGCCCTGGATGCAGAGGAAACTGAACCGTTTAGGGGGCTCTTGCCAGTAGGAACCCCCTTCTCTGTCCAACACACCAAAGGGGTGAGAAAAACAAGAAATGTCCCCCAAACACACACACTCCTGAAATCAACACCAATAAGCCACAAACTGCTCCTCCCACCCCTCTCTGTCGTGGGCAGGAGTGGAAAGAGAAAGTTTCTTTCCTCCCCTTTGTTGATGTGGAACCCAGTGAGGTTCTCTTGCAGGACATGGTGGCCCTGGGTCACAGGGGAATCACCATGTGTTGTTGCAGGATGTCCACCAGGTCTTGGGCCCCTCTCTGCCGCGCCAACTCCAGTGGGGTAAGGCCTTCCGCATCCCTGTGATGCAGGTCAGACTCCGGAGCCAGGAAGCTAACTATGGTGCTGTGGCCCTCCCGAACAGCGAGATGGATGGGGAGTGCGCCGGTCCCATCAGGGGCGTTGACATCAGCTCCATGGTCCAGAAACACCTTCAGGGTGTCCAGAAACCCAGTGCGTGCTGCATCGTGGACTGGACTGGTACCAGAGGCATCCTGGACATTGGGGCTAGCACCCTGCTTCAGGAGTTCCAAGGCAATGGTTGGATTCCCAAACATCATGACCTGTGGGAGAGAGGTGGGACAGAATATCATGCTATTTCCAGGAGAGAGAGAGAGAGAGAGAGAGAGAGAGAGAGAGAGAGAGAGAGAGAGAGATTCCTCACCCAGAAAGAGGGGTGCTAGGAATCCAGTGCCAGAGAACCTTAAAGAATAGGATGCTTCCGTGAGCTGCAGGCCAGTCTGGCCTACATAGTAAGTTCCAAGCCAGCCAAGGGTACATAGTGAGACCATGTTAGAAAGAAAAGAAAAGAAAAAGGAAAAGAGAAGGTCTGTAACTCCATTTCCAGAGGATCCAACACCTTCTGACCTCTGTGGGCATTGCAAGGCATGGGTGCAGTTACATACATGCAGGTAATACACTCACATACATAAAATAAAAATAACTAAAATATTTAAAAGAGGGTGTTGGATCCCCTAGAACTGAAGGATGGTTGTTAGATACCATGTAGGTGCTGGAAACTGAACCCAGTTTCTCTGCAATAGCAACCAGTGCTCTTAACTTCTAAGCCACCTCTCCAGCCCCAAATAAAGTATTTTTTTAAAGAGCTTTTAAGGCTGGGTGTGGTGGTGTAAACCTTTAATCCCAGCACTCCAGCACTCCAGAGGCAGAAGCAGGCAGATCTCTGTGAATTTAAGCCAGCCTGGTCAGCTGGGGCTACAGGGAGTCCGTCTCAAAAAAGACCAAAAACAAAAAAGAAAAAACTTTTAAGAAAATAGGAAGGAAAGGATGGGAATAAAGGATAGGAAACAAAGAAAATTCCCAAGGAACCAAGAGCCCCCCTCAAGGACAGACCTCTCACATGGGAAATCATCAAGAACTCTTAAACCCCTCCAGACAATGGGACCCCTTAATCTGAGAGCTATTCTCACACAATATGACCATACTCCAAAGAGAAGAGATGCCCTGGGGAATATGGAACCCCTTTTTCCAGGAAAAGCCTTCCCCTATATAGGGAGTTGTCAGAGTTCATGAGTACCCCTGGAAAATAGGACCCACCTACAAATGCTACCCCAAGTTATAGGACATTGTTTTTATAACTGGGACATTCAGAAGATACCCCCCCAAAATCTATACCACCCACAGAAATGAGGGCTCCCCCCAAACAGCCAGAGACTTTTGGGTGACCTCTCCAGAAAATGGGTATCTCCCTAGCTTCCAGAAACCAAATATCTTTCTAGAATCCCCCAAGAAATGTGAGCTAGGGGCTGGAGAGCTGGCTGAGCAGTTGAGAGCATTAGTTGCTCTTGCAGGGGACCCAGGTTTGGTTCCCAGCACACACATGGCAGCTGACAACCATTCATAACTCCAGTTCCAGGGGATCCAATGTCCTCGTCTGACCTCCTTGGGCATTGTACAATACCAGTGCACTTACATACAGGCAGGCAATACAGTCATACACGTTAAAAAAAGTAAATAAAATATTAAAAAGTTACAAAAAATGAAATTTATTAAAAACAAACAAACCATGAGCTGTCCCAAGGAACCCGAGCCAGAGAATTTTCTTATTCTCCTGCTAGGAAACAGGAATATTCCAGACTTGAAGACAAGGAATTTTTATTTTTTATTTTTGTTTTGGTCTTTTTGAGATAGGGTCTCCCTGTAGCCCCAGGTGGCCTGGAACTTGCTATGTAGACCAGGCTACCCTTGAACTCACAGAGGTCCACCTGCCTGCTGGGAGTAAAGGCACGCCCAGCCTAGACAAGGAATTCTTCAGAGATGAAAGGGCCTGCCCCCACCATGCACCCAACATCAGTGCAAACAAGAAGCCCAGGGAGTCACTAACCCCGGGGTCAGGAGGTGAAGAGGGATGGAATTTGAGGGTCTAGTCCTAGAAACAAATATTGATGCCCAGGTGTCAGCAAACTTGGGCAAGAAGATGGGGGGCTTGGAAGTCTGGGTCCAGCAAACAGGGATCAGTACTCAATAGGTCACCGGTCCCCGGCCAGGAGACCAAAAAAGGGATAGGGTCTGGGGTGGTTCTGGGTCCCTTGCCTGGCCCCTGTGCCCGATGGCAATCAGGCCTCACCTGCAAAGCCGTCTTGCCAAATCGGTTCACAGAGTCCGGATGTACCAACTCCCGGTGCAGAAGGCGGCGCACTTCATGCACGTCGCCACGAGCCGCGGCGCTACTCAGTCGGTCACCGACGCGGACTTCTTCCAAGAGCATGGTGGATACAGGTGGTCTGTGAAACCTGCCCAACCCCCAAGCCCAGTGTAGGTGAGTGCTGGGAGACCCAGCAGGATCTGGATCAAAATACTTGGGGTTCCCTAGTCTAGGGGTTGCAATGCGACCCCGGGATGGGCTGCAATGCATGAATACACGAGGCCTGCTCTATCTACCCCTGGCTGCAGACCTTGGGTCTAGGTTCCCGTAGGACTCCCCTCCTCTTGCAGCCGGCTCCTCCCCTCTGTCACCCAGCAGAGGTGACCAGGAACCCTGCCCAACCCCCCCCACCTCCTGCCCCCCAGGCACCCTGGAGCACAGCCCCGAAGCCCGCCCCTTGGGGGCCGGGTTTCCCCCCAACTCACCCTCCCTCCTCCTCCTGCACGGGCGGGGTCTGCTCTGAGCCCACGCCAGGGCCACAGACTCTATAGACAGGCAGCCCTCGGTGGGCGGAGCCAGCGAGTCTCAGGCCCGGGCCCCCAAACGCTTGCGCACTTGTTTTCTTACAAACTTGCTACACAGTGAACGCCCAGAGCCCGACCTCCTGAGGCCACGCCCATCTGACACGAACAGCCAATCAGCGCACGTTGTCGGGGAGGCTTCGAAGGCCTGATGAGATGGCGAACCTTATGATTGGCCAAGCCGGGACGACCAGCGGGACTGGCGGGGTTTTTTTGGTTTTCAAACCGGCAGGCGGGCGGGCGGGAAAGCGAAGCGGGTTTAACTGACCCGGAGCACAGGGACTGGGTAGCGCTTGGCTCCCAGGTCTTGGGACTCCAGCGCCTCCGGGAGGTATGTTGGCAGAGCTCCGAGACTGGAATGTTCCATGCTATGAACTGGAACGTGTAGTTCATTCATTCACTGCTATGTTAAAGGCCTTTAGCGTTCAAATGAGCGCTTTCTAACAGTATTTTTCTCTTTTCATTTTGAGAAAGGATCTTGGGGGCTGGAGAGCTGACTCAGTGGCTGAGAGCACTGGCTGCAATTACAGAGGACCCAGGTTCAATTCCCAGCACCTAAATGGCAGCTAACTATCCATAATCCCAGTTCCTGGGGATCTGATGGTCTCTGGTTTCCACAGGCACCTCCACACGAGTGGGGAAATTAACTCACACAGGCACACACATCTACACATAGATATACTGGAGTATAGTCCCAGCACTGGGGAGGCAGAGGCAGGTGGATCTCTGAGAGATGAGGGCAGCCTTGTCTACATAGCAAGTTCCAGGCCACCAGGGTTAGTGAGATTTTGTTTTAAAAAAAACAAAATGTTGCGGGGCGTGGTGGCGCACGCCTTTGATCCCAGCACTCGAGAAGCAGAGGCAGGTGGATCTTTCTGAGTTCAAGGCCAGCCTGGTCTACATACTGAGTTCCAGGACAGCTGGGGCTACAGGGAGACCCTGTCTCAAAAAGAACAAAACAAAAAAACAAAAACAATATGTTATCATAAAGGATTTATCATATCAAGATTTTTAAAAAACTCATAGAATTTTTTTTTTTGTCTTTTTGAGACAGGGTAGAATTTTTTTTATAAAAGAAAGGGTCTCAAGTAGCCCAGGCTGACCTCCAACTCACTATGAAGGCAAAGAGGACCCAGAACCTAGAATTCCCACAAATGACTCCACCACACAGACCCTGTTTCTTTGGTGCTGGGGACGGAACCCAGGGTTTTGTCATTGCTAGGCATGCTATCAACTGAGCTACAGCCCCAGCCCTTAACAGTTTTTTAAAAAGTATTTTATGTATATATGTATACCATATGCATGTTCTTTCTTTCTTTCTTTTTTTTTTTTTTTTTTTTTTTTTTTTGAGACAGGGTCTCATGTAATCCAGGCAGAGAGGCAGAGGAAAGCAGAGCTGGGAGCTCTCAGAATGGAATTCGCTGGTGTTGATTGCTTGATTGATTGATTGATTGATTGATTGACTGATCTTTTTGTGATAGCCTTTCCCTGTACCCCAGCTGACCTGGAACTTGCTATGTAGACCAGGCTGGCCTTGAACTCACAGACATTCATGTGCCTCTGCCTCCTGAGTGCTGGGATTAAAGGCATGTGCCACCATGCCCAGCCCTCAGACTGGAATGTTCTATGCATTCATATACCCTGCAAGTCTTGAACTCGTAAATCACCCTGCCTCTGCCTCCCCAGTGCTGGGATTACAGGTGTGTGCCACCATACCTGACTTTTGGACATCATTATGCAGACATACACTCCCCCAAAAAAAATCTAAAATGGGGAAATGGGATGAGTGAGAAGAGAATCAGTCTGGCTAAGATTAAGCCAGCCCTTGAAAGTACAAAACCAGGTGGGCCTCAGGGTCTACACCTTTAATCCCAGCACTCATTCAGGAGGCAGAGGCAGGAGGATCTATGTGAGACTGAGACCAACCTGGGCTACATAGAGGGTTCTAGGCCAGCTGAGGTGACAAGGAGACCCTGTCTCAAAAGATTAAAAATAATAAAAATTAAAGCAGGGCTAGGCGTGGTGGCGCTGGGCCAGGCGTGGTGGCGCATGCCTTTAATCCCAGCACCTGGTAAGGGCAAATGTGGGGCTGGCTTTGAGCAAAATTCAGTACCATTGAGGAATCCAGACAAGGGGCTGGAGCAGTGTCTCAGCAGTTAAGAGCATGGACTACTCTTGCAGAAGACCCAGTTTTGATTCCCAGCACCCACATGGCGGCTAACAACCATCAGTAACTCCAGTTCCAGGGGATCTGACACCTTCTTCTGACCTTCACAGGCATTGCACAACATGGGTGCCCTTACGCACATGCAGGCACAAAAAAAAAAAAAAAAAAAAAAAAAAAAAAATTAAAGCAAAGGGCTGGAAAGATGGCTCAGCTGTTAAGAGCACTGTTTCCAGCCCCCACATGGAGTCTCACAAGCATGCATAACATCAGTTCCAGGAGACCCAACAGCCTTATCAGACATTGCACACATGTGGTATACTTATATACAAGCAGGCAAAACACTCATCCATATAAAATAAAAATCAATTTAAAAAAAACAAAAACAGCTAGGGATGGTAGTACAGGAATACCTATAACTTAAGTCTTTGGTAGGCGAGGTAGAAGGACAAAAAGTTCTAGGTCTTCATTAGCTACATAAGTTAGAAACCAACCTGGGTTACACAAGACCATCTAAAACAAAGTGAAAACAAAAGAGAAAACAGCTCAGCATCGCGGTGGCTCATGCCTGTGATCCCCACACAATGAACAGGCGGAGGATTACTGCAAGTTTGAGGCCAGTCTAGGCACAGAGTTATAGTCCAGCCAGGTGGGGGTCGAAAAAATATAACATAAGCTGGGTGTGGGGGCGCAACTTGCCTTTAATCTCAGCACTGGGGAGGCAGAGGCACGTGAATTTCTGTGAGTTCAAGGCCAGCCTGGTCTACATAGCAAGTTCAGGCCAGCTGGGGCTACAGGGAGACCTGTCTCGAAAAGATATAAATAAATAAATAATAAATAAATAAATAAAGTGGTTATTTCTTTAAAAAAATTACATGCACACACACACACACACACAAACACAAAAGCAAGGCACATGCCTCTAGTAGCACATGCCCCTAATCCCAGCACTCAGAGAGCTGAGGCAGGGGGACCTTTGTAAGAGCAAGGCCAGCCTGGTCTACAGGGACCAGCTGGGGCTACAGGGAGACCCTGCCTCAAAAAAGTAAAAGAAACAAAAATTATAATAATTAAATTAAATAGGAAGGTTAGAAGGGTCACCTCTGAGAAGACATGACATCTGACCTGGACCTAAACAGGAGGCCACACAGCTAGTGCCTGGGAAAGAGCATGCTTGGTGAAAGGGCCCTGAGGCCCTCATCTAGTACGATGAGGAGTGGGAGGGAAGGCAGGCAGGTAGGTGGGGGTGGAGTGGGGTGCAGACTAAGCCTGTGGGTTGCCAGAGCCTTTAATTTTAACCATGTGGGTTATGAGCAAGCTCTGAACTGACTTAGATGTTACTGTGCCCCCTAGTGGCTGTGTAAGGGAACTGGCTAAAGGCGGGTGAAGGGAGATCATGGTGAAAATGATTGACAAGTATTTAATGGACACTCCCAAGCCAGTGGTCCCCGACACGTCCAGTACCAAGCCAAAAAGAACATTCGCAGCAGTTTAAATTCATTTTAATGACACCCTCAAACTCAGAAGTGGGGGCAGCAGGGCCTTTGGGCTCAGCAGCTATGAAAGATGGCCTCCCAGAACCCCTTAAGGCAGATTACTAGAAGGCACTTGTGAGGGGGGCCCTCAAGCCCCTCTTATATTTCTTCATATAAAATCAGGGTGGAGGAGCCCCAAGATCGAGGGACACTGAGAAACCATCACAGACAGTTCATAAAAGGATAAAAGGGGTTAGGTGCTGGGAGCAAGAACTTAAGTCAGTACCCAAACCCAACACACACACCCTCTCCCTCTCTCAAAATCCACAGACGGGACCTGGGGAGGAGGCCCCATGTTCAAACCCCCACTTCTCCCTTCTAGCTGGTACGAAGTTGATAATCTGCAGGAAAAAAATGAGTGCGAACATCTGAGAACTGAGAAAAAGGAGAGAGGGAGAGACTCCTACCTCCCACCCCCTAAATTAATCCTGAGCATTAGTGCTCATAATCAGGATATGTGGGGCAGGGAGTGTGGCTCACTGGTAGAGCCCCTACTAGCATGTCTAAAGCCCTATGTTCCATTCCTAGTACCAAACAAAAAACCTCTTGGTAGCTCAAGATGGTGTTCAACACAGACCTATTTCCAGACAGCATATGGGGATGCTAAGTGTAGGAACCCTTGTTCAAACTTTATGGCCACCCTGAAGGTGGCTAGTGACCCGATTTCAAAGCTGTATAAGCTAAGGCCCAAGGAATCATGATGAGAAGAGACAGGCCTGGGCTAGATATGTTGATGCCATAACAGGATCAAAGCTATCAGTCCCCTTGACCCCACTGTCCCAGGGAGCCAAGCTGCCTTACCACCACTCTGTGTGATGTATCGAACCCAGGGCAAGGCCTGGTATCCGCTTTTCTCAATGATCTTCATGTAACGGACCTGGAAGAGAATAGAAAGGGCTAGAGATGTAGTGCAGAGGAAGTGACCCTGTCTAGAATCTCCCAATGAGAAGCTGAGGGGGTTGCCTAATCTGTGCCGGCTCCTGAGTTCAATCTCCAGCTAGGAGGAAAAAAAAACCTGTAACCTGAGATTGGGATGACCAGAGTCAGCAGAGAAAATCAAGGCTTGTATCAAGAAAACATATGTGGGGCTGGGGAGATGGCTTAGTGGTTAAGAACACAGGCTGCTCTTACAAAGGACCTGGGTTCAAGACCCAGCACCCACATACCAGCTAACAACCATCTGTAACTCCAGTTCCAGGGGCTCTGATGCCCTCTTCTGACCTCCGAGGGTATTGCACAGCATGGGCACACTTACATACCTGCAGGCAATACACCATACACATAAAAATAATAAAATACTTTTTTTAAAAAGAAAGAAAACATATGAGCCAGGCATAGTGGTGCATGCCTTTAAGCACGCCATTAATCCCAGCACTCATGATGTGGAAGCCAGCTTGGTCCACACAGAGTTCCAGGGCAGCTGGGACTACAGGGAGACAACAGGTGGCACAATTTGGAGTGATAAGATAACAAAGGCCACATGACATGCACAGAGAGGAGGTGACCCAGGCCAGTAGGAAGAAGGGTGCACAGTGGAAGGACAGGTACAGATACAAAGCCTGGTTGGGGCACAACAGAATGGAGAGTGGTCTGTGGGCGAGGTGGGCTGAGAGACGTGAACAGCCACTGTGCAAGGCAATGTTAGATGCCACCATGAGAGGCCGAAGTGGCCAGAGGGGACCCAGGACAAGAGTAGAAGAGGCAGCATTTTCCAGAGTGAAGAGGAGAAATGGGGTACTCAACAGGGTGACACACGATTGTCATCCCAGCACTCAGGAATCTGATGCAAGAGAGTACAATAAATTCAAGGCCAGACTGGGGCAACAGAGCAGAGTTTCAGGCCAGCCTAGGCTACTGAGGAAAACCCTGTCTCAAAGCAAAGAAAAACAAAACAAAACAAAGCAAAACAAAACAAAAAATGCATGGGGAAAGGTGACTTACGCTAAAAGACAGAGAGCCCTTCTGACCCTTGTCCCTCACCTGGATGCCAGAGACAGTAAAGTAAGGAATTTCAAACTTGACCCCGATGGGTGGCCGGCCCTCCACCTCTTCTGTCTCCACACTGGGAAGGCCAAAGTGGGCACGCATCAAGTACTCCTTGCCCCCCTGTGGACACACAGAGAAATCAGAAACCCAAAGTGGGTCCCTACAGGTTCATAGACCACCCTCACAATAGTTCCCAGACATGGGATCAGAGTGTGGCCCACCACACAGATGTGGAAGTCAAGGTACTGAATGAGACCCACAGAAAACCCCTGTGATGTCACAAGCCAGGGGGAGGGGCGAACAACTCTTGTTCCTTAGCCTAGAGAACACCCCCACCCATAACACAGACCAGTCAAATCCTCCAGTGGCCAGGGACAGTGGCGAGATCCCTGAGTCCTAGCTGCTCTGGAGGGTAAGGCAGGAGGACAGAAGACTGCGAGTTCAAGGTGAGTCTGGGTTACCTAGAGGCCCCGTGTCAAGAAACCAAGGGCAGTGAGGCTGGAGAGCTGGCTCTGTGGTTAAGAGCGCTGGCTGCTCTTGCAGAGGACCCAGGTTCTATTCCTAGGAACCACAAGGCAGCTAATTGCCAAATGTAACTCCAGTACCAGGCTTCTGATGCCCTCTTCTGGCCTCCAAGGGCACTGTACAAACATGGTACACTAACATGCAGGCAAAACACTCATACACATAAAATAAAAATAAATTAAATTAAATTAAAAAGAAAAGAAATCAAGGGCTTGGGATTACAGCACCGTAGTAGAGCACTTTCACAGAAGGCATGAATCCCTGGCCCTGGGTTCCATCCCCAGCACACATAAACCAGCTGTGGTGGTATGTACCTGTGACCTCAGCACTCTGGAGGTAAAGTCAAGAGGGTCAGGAGTTCAAAGCCTTTGTTGACTACATAGGAAGCTGGAGAAACCTTGAGCCACTTGTAGGGGCTGGAGAGATGGCTCAGCAGTTAAGAGCACTAGCTGCTCTTGCAGAAAACCCAGGTTCAAATCCCAGCACTCATACGGCAACTGACAACCATCCATGGCTCCAGTTCTGGGGGATCTGACGCCCTTTTCTGACCTCTGAGGCATTGCATGACATGGATGCACTTACATACAGGCAGGCAATACACTCATACACATAAAATTTTTTAAATGATAATTAAGGGGCTGGAGAGATGGCTCAGCAGTTAAGAGCACTGACTGCTCTTGCAGAGGACCCGGGTTCAATTGCGGGTATGAACTGTCCTTAACTCCAGTTCCAGGGGCATCTGAAGCCCTCTTCTGACCTCTGCAGCACTGCATGACATGGGTGCACTTACATACATGCAGCCAATGCACTCATACACATAAAATAAAAATAATAAATAAAATATTAAGAAAAAATAATTTTTTAAGAAATGCTGGCAAGATGACTCAGTGGGCAGAGGCTTGATGACCTAAGTTCAGTCCCCAGGACCCACTGGTAAAAGGAAGAGAACCAATTCCCACAAGTTGTACTTTGACTGTTACAGGCACCCTGTGGCATACAAACCACACACACATGCATACACACATGCACACATGCACACACACATAATAAAATATTAAGCCAGGCATGGTAGTGCACACCTTTAGTCCCAATATTCAGAAGGCAGAAGAGGGTGGATCTCTGTGAGTTGAGGCCAACCTGGTCTACATAGGTAGCTCCAGGCCAGCAAGGGCTCAATGTCTCAAAAAGACAAAAAAAAAAAAAAAAAAAATTAAGCCTCCAGTACCTCAAGAATGTGGGTCAACTGTCATCCAGCCCACTTTATAGATGAGCTGGAAAAACTGGAAGAGGTGTGCCATTTCAACTCAGTTCCCTAACCCCAGATTGGTTTGGTTTGGGTTTCTCAGGCTAGGTCTCCTATAGCATAGGCTAACCTTGAACTCGCTGTGCCTGATAGCTTTAGTGTCAACTTGACACACCTGGGTTGAGGGAGCCTCAATCGGGGAATTGCCTCCATTGGACTGGCCTGTGGCCATGTCTGAAGGGCATCTTCTTGATGAGAGATGTGGGAGGGCCCAGCCCTCTGTGGGTGGTGCCACCCCTGGGCAGGTGGGCCTGTGTTGCATAAGAAAGCAGGCTGAGCAGGGGCCAGGGGAGCAAGCCAGTAAGCAGCGTTCCTCCATGGCCTGTGCTCCAGCTCCTGCTTCCAGGTTCCTGCCCTGAGTTCCTACCTTGGGCTCCCTGATGAACTACAACCTGGGAAATGTAAGCTGAATAAACCCTTTCCTCCCTGAGTTAGTATTGATCAGAGTGTTTTGTCACAGCAATGAAGAAACAAACTAAGGCACTCGCTATATAGCCAAGGCTTACCCTGAATTCTTGAAACTCCTGCCTCCACCTCCCAAGTGCAGCTCAGCAACCCTTAGAAGACCCCTCCCACTCTGGTATCCATGCTTGTCCCCAGTACTCACCGGGAAGGACTTTATACTCCATATGACAACATTCTTCTCTGGCACATACTTGGCACTGCCCACGCTGGTCTTGAAGCGTGGGGAGTCTGCATCACTGGGTACAGGCACAGAAATTTCCACACTGTTGGCCACCGACTGCTTCTTAAACTGCCCCTTGGCCTGCCGGGAAAGAGCATGAGCAATAAGAACCAACCCTTGGGCAGGATCTAGTGATGGGTGCTTGAAATCCCAGCTACTCAGGAGGCTGAGGCAGGAAAACAGCAAGTTTAAGTCTTGCTTGGATTACAAAGGAGAGTTCAAGACTAGCCTGGGCTGAGCAACTTAGTGAGACCCTGTCTGCAAATGAAAAATAGAAAAAAGGTTGGGGATACAGCTCAGTGGTAGAGTGGTTGCCTAGCATGTGAGAGGCCCTGGGTTATGGGCCCAGTAAGAGAAAAAAAAAAAGGAAGGAAAGGAAAGAAGGTGTGGTGTAAGGGACAAGACAGCTCAGCAGAAAAAGTGTTTGCTGCCAAGCTTGACAATGAGTTTGAGTCCCAGGATTCACATGGTGGAAGAAGAGAAACCACCAACTCCTGCAAGCTATCCTCTGACCTCTACAATACGTGCATGCCCCACCCCAGATGTACACACAGAAGAAAAGGAAAATGTAATAAAAATGAAATAGGGGGTAGAAAGAGGCCTCAGTGGTTAAGAGCACTGGCTGCTCTTGCAGAGGACCCAGTTTCAGTTCCCAGCACCCACATGGTGGTTAACAATCATCTGTAACTCCAGTTCCAGGGGATCCAATGCCCTCTTCTGGCCTCTGAGGACATTGCACACACATGTTGCACTTACATACATGAAGGCAAAACACATTTGAAAAATAATAACAATAGCTGGGCGTGGTGGCGCATGCCTGTAGTCCCAGCACCTGGGAGGAAGAGGCGGGTGGATCTCTGTGAGTCCAAGGCCAGCCTGGTCTACATAGTGAGTTCCAGGACAGCTGGGGCTACAGGGAGACCCTG